TCTCTTAATTTAACACGAGCCTGAGTTCCCGAACTAATTTTTCGGACTTCTTTATGTTTATGCCTTTAGAAGATATTCAGGTTTTAAAAATTAAATTTTCACCATGCCTAAATGATGTTATCTAATATCTCTATTTTTGCATGCCAGTCTTTTATTACTGCCCTTTGACATGGGAGCGGCCATATTTTGCCATATTTTATTTATCTTTGGATAATGTTTTGAACTAATGGACTTGACTGGATTCCCAATCAAACATTTTTCAATATGTTCTCAGTTAAAATTGGAATAATGTTTGAAAGGAGCAGGTATTCGGCAATAATTATTAACCATTTATAAGAAGAGTGTAGATTGTAAACTCACACTCTGCGTTCTCATTGGAATGTAAAGTTATTATATTTCAGTGTATGTTATTAGGTGAGACAGACTGCTCCATGGAAAAGGTTCTGTATTATAAATCTCGAATGTTTTAGAATTAAAACATATTTCGAAAAAAGGTATTTTGCGTAATCTTATAAAAAGGTTTGTAAGGTTCTCTAAAATGCACAACAATTATTAAATATGATGCCCCAATGTATAAAAAGTTTATATTTTAAAAATACATTTCATATTCGAGGTGATTTATTATTTAATTTTAATTTTTCCGTTTTTTTTTTCTTTTTCTTTATGCTTTTTTCCCAAAATTTCGATCTTAATTAAATATCTCTTTTCAATTTGTTTTATATTCTTATACTCTTTGGAAGAAAATGAAACTAATCAAGATGAAGAAATCTTACTAAAGGTTTATGGCTGATATGTTTGAGATTATGATAGACAGAAAAAAAAACCTATATGACTGTGTACATTATTAAGCCCTTTGGCTTGTCTCCAGATGCTTTTCAGTATACGAATATATGTATCTAGTGGCTCTGGAAGTTGTATATCACGCTCACATACTTATGCTTGAGAATATTTTGTTTTGTTCAAGTAGTTACTAGCCGCGAAAAGAAAAGAAGTTAGGTTCATAGTTCGAATCAGTGACGTTAGCTTTACAAATATTTTGTAAAAATTCATTTAATTTAATTAGAGTTAAACTAAAAGTAGAAATTTTTGTTTTAAACCTTCTAGCTGTAACGTTAATTGAAGTTCCTTAAAATATATCAGTTTATCAAGCGTAATGAATTCAAAGAAGGGAAAATTAACAGTCACTCATACAGTAATAATTCATCTGATGGTATCAGTAGTGATGATAATGAGAATAATTTCTATTTAAACTACTGTAACGTTTAAAAGTGGCATGAAAGAAAACTATAAAAAATTACCAAGAATTAAACCAAGCATTTATATATTTTTGAAAAAAAATTGGCCCTCTTGAAAATAATTTATAACAAACATATTGAAATGTGATATTAAGCATAATTTTTACGTTTATTGAGTAAGCTATGTTTTAAAAAGAGTTAACAATGTAGATCAATTTTTGTGTGTTTTAGAAAATGAAGGAGAATTCCTATGACAAAACCTAGTTTGCGTCATGGAAGTTTAAGTGCATATATGTCATGACAGAGTATCTTTCACGAAGTTTGATCCATATGATGGTTTTTTTTCCTGCTAAGATTTTGATGCGGTCTGTAACTCTCTACTTATGAGCGAAGTAAGGAACATTGATTTCTTTTTTGGTATGATAATCTCGTGATCAGTATATAAGCAACATGGCAGATCAGGTAATCTTAAAGTGTAAGGTATTTTACCTAGCTTCATTACGGATACCATCAAATAATTTCCCCGTTTTAATGAAGGAAAGATTGTATTAAGTAGTCAGTTATCATAAAAGACTCGGGAAAAGTCTATTTTGTTGAATATTTTCTAATGGAATGCAAAGAATACGTTCTGAAGAAAAGTAATGCACGTTGTTTTCTTAATGTAGAAACTTTTCATGAATAGTAACGTTCTAAACTAGTAAAGAAAGATTTAAAATTAATCCAAGCAATAAAATCGATTTTGTTTATTTGTATCCAATAAAAAACAATATCATATATTCGATTCTCATTTGCAGAATGAGATTGATGCAATCTTTTGCTAGCTGTGTAAAAATTGATTTTGTCATTATTTACACCTATAATGCAAACACTGATAAAAATCTGTATGAAGAATCTACGAAAGATGTGCTCGGAGATGTGTATTTTAGATAAATAAAAAAAATAAAATAAAAAATAAAAAATAATAAAAAAAAAGATAAAAAAGGTTAATTAAAGCAGATAAAATCAGATAGGGATGGATTTTTTAAAATATTATATATGCATAAACTAATGCACCTTTACTTGCTTTTACGAAAAATTTAAAATTACTAAAAAAAGCATGAGAAGACGAAGACGGAAAGAAAAGATAATTTTATTGAGGTAACAATGAAAGCTGTCGTGATACTAAGAAAAAAGCGTTGCTTGTGTTTCGACAGCAAAATTACTTATCTTCCCCAATAAAAAGTAAGTGAATGTGAAAAATGCAATACCGGGAAGTTAAAAATGTGATAGACAATGTCATCTATTGTGCAGAAAAGAGCAAAAAATATATGCAACTTCGCATCTCTTAAAGATAAATGAAAGTAGTAAAAATGCATGTCTTTGAAGAATGGAAGATAGAATATTTTGGCTCGTGTATGATTTACTGCTTAAAATAAGAAGAATTTTTCGGAGAGAGGAAGTTTCTAGAGCCACGAAATTTTAATCTACGGTTAAGAATGTAGCGGTCACGAAGAATAGATGATTACGAATTTTTCTTTCAGACCATAAATTTCACATAGGAAGACAAAACAATTCTGTATGCAAAGTCATTTAAATCATTATTGAAACATTTGTATAATTATTCTACTTTTATTAATGTTTTACATAACGTACCTTTTCTATGAAATTTGTGCAATATTCTCATCCAGAAAAATTAGGCAATAAAGACCACACGAAATACGTTTTTCGGTCACAAAGCTAACAAACCCAAACTATGCTACACCAAGATAAGTACAATACTGCGTTAGAAGCATCTTTTATTGATTACAATACATCTGAAAGTTTGCATAATTATCAGCAGATGTATCATAAATTAAATATATTTTAGATATATTATTTATATTATTAAATAATATATATAAAGATTTGAATGTTATGAAATGTGACTGTTACATTAAAATTTCTCAATATCTTAAAAAGCTAAATATTGATTAAATTTGAAAGTTTTATTAAAATTCTTATACTTAAGCAATTATATATTGAGTAAACCTGTGATATAAATTAAAGATAAAGTTTCTATATGAAAGCTAGTATTTTGAGAGCCTAAATTGTAAACAAAAATTCCTAAAATATAAGGCACTTCATCTAAAGTCACACGGAAGATAAAACATAACATGTTTCGCGCACACTTATATTTGCTACATTGCTTGTATTTAATACTGACAGAGTCAGAATCATATTTAGATAGATGAAGAAAGTTAGAATATAAGATTGTTTACTCCTCTTAACCATTGTTTCACAAATATGTATAAATTATTAGAAGTGTCAGAACAGAAAACTGGTTTACATATAGGACGTGCGTCAATTTCGCAAATGCCTAATACAATGTTACATTATCCCAAGATAAAATTACCAAACAATTAATGATGATTTAAAAAATTGGCTTAATTTTTGGGGACAATTTAAGAAAATTGATAATTATCCTAATATTGATAATCAAGATAAATTTACATATTTATCCCAGGCCATGCAACAAGGTTCTGTTGCAGAAGAATTAATTAAAAGTTTCCCGCCAAGGGGCGGAAGTTATGAGAAAACTAATTCTTATAGCGATTGTAAAACAATTAATTACATGCGCGTTTTGGAAAGGATGAACTATTAATTCAAGTTTATGTAAGAGATTTATTGCCTTTAATACTTCAAAAGCAGAACACACCAGGGAGGTCTTTAAGAAAACTTTATGACCAGTTGAATTCTAAGCTTCGTGCTTTGGAAGTTCTAAGGGTTACTAGATATAAATATGCAGCCATGCATTTTCCTCTTGTTGGTCTTCTTTGCCTGATGAGACACTTACAGCATGGGAATGTTATTACCGAGCAGTTAATGGTACATCTAGAGATTTAAATCCACAAAACTGGGAAAATTCTGATCAGTCAAAAATAATCGAGAAAAGTGATCTAGATTATTTACTTGAAATTCATCAAGATGAAGTAAAATAGGAAGAACGAATATCTCTATCTTTTCAAACATTTGATCAAAAGAATCCAAGAAAATATGATAACAAATGCAGTGTTAAAATACCTTTTGAAAATAAAATTAGGAGTACTAAATCGAAATTTGGCAGTCCATTGCCTGTGCTTAGTACTTCCGAACTGTTTACGCCAACTCAAGAGCAAAAATCGTGCATATTTAGTTCAAATCCTCATAATTCTTGGGATTGTAGGAATGCAAAAAATATACCTCTAACTGGGAGAAGCTATTGTTGGGGAATCGCGTTGCTGCTTTCTCCGCCTGAGACATGGACACCGAGTAATGAAATGTAATGAGAAATCGATTTGCGTACTATGTGGGAAAAGACATTATGTACTTCTGTGCAGAAATATAGCTACAGTAAATGCACAGCATTCTAAGAAAAAGTAAACTGAGTCTATTAAAAGTGATTTAGAGAGAGATCACCAGGGTGGTCAAGAAGAGATCACCAGGCACTTGCAAATGTATCAAGTGCACCTAATGTTATGTTACAAACATTAACTGCGATTTTAAGATGCAATGATAAAAAGCGTAGAGCTCGAGCCATTATTGATTCTGCATCTCAGAGATCTTACGTTTTGAGTAAAACAGCTAAAGAGATGGGGTACAAAGCCTTAAAAAATGAATACCGTCACTCACTGTTCGGAGGAAGTAATACTAAAGTGTATAAACATGATTTGTTAATGATATATTTATCAAATATAAAGTGTACATATAATTGTAATTTCTAAGCATTAAGCCAACTGTAATATGTGATACTATGTAGTAATATCGTAAATGTGTCTAAAAGAACTTGCAGACTTAGGCATTAATCCTGATGATACGGAATGTGGGCCTATTGAAACTTTAATTGGAGCTGACATATCGGCAAGTTGATGACTGGCGGCTATAAGCTTCTACCCAGCGGTCTTGCAGCCAATTGAAATAAAACTACGGGGGACGATAATAGGTCGCATTCCAGCAGCGTCGTCCTGTGAGAGTACAACTTTAATTTCAGTGTTAAATAAAAATGCTTTTATAACAGATTTTTAGACATTAGATATTTTAGGTATCAGAGACCCATCAGAAAGCAAAACAAAATCCGAACTTGAGAAAGCTGCTAAGTACCATTTTTTAAATACAGTGAAAATCGAGAACGAACGTTTTATGGTAAGTCTACCATGGATTGAAGGTCACCGTCTACTTCCAGACAACTATGACTTAACACTCAAAAGATTGAATTCTACATTGAAGAAAATAAAAGTTGATGGCTTATATGAAGACTACGGAAATTTATTTCAGGATTGGTTGAAAGAACGTATCATTGAGGAAGTACCATTGAGTGAAAAAGATGTTCCTTGTCATTATCTGCCTCACAGACATACTGTTAAAGAAAACAGTACGACACGAATCCGACCAGTATTTGATGCTTCAACAAGGGAAAAGGGTCACCCAGTCTCAATGAATGTTTAGACAAGGGCCCAAACCTCATAGAAATGATTCCTTCAATTTTTACTAGATTTCGTTTAGACAAGATAGGTGTCATTGCAGATATTCGAAAAGCTTTTCTCCAAATAATAGAAATTTCCTGAGATTCCTGCGGGTAAATAGCAACAATGAATTGAAAATTTATCGTCACTGTAGAGTTGTGCTCGGAGTTTCAAGTAGTCCCTTCCTTCCTTGGAGCTGTTATTCAGCATCATTTACAGACAGTTCTAAACCAATACGTACAAGGACAGTCCATTTATCCAAAAGAAATTACACAGAAACTTCGTAGTAGTTTCTACGTTGACAATTGTGTCACGAGTGCGGAAAATGAATCTGAATTACAAACTTTCATAGCAGTGGCTTCAGAAGTAATGGCAGCAAGACAGTTTGATTTGAGAGGGTGGAAAAATACAGATTCTTCAAGATTTTCCCTACAAAATGAGAGATACCCTCCAGGTGAATATATCCAGTTTCGAGAATCTGTGTACTGAGAAAATAACGAAAACAACTATTCTAGCTGCTGCTCTCAGAATTTTTGATCCTTTGGGGTTTGTTTGTCCAATAACCTTAATTCCTAAACTTCTTTTGCAACATTTATGGAACGCAAACATCAGCTGGGATCAGGAAGTAGATGTGGACACAAAGAAAAAAATTTTAAAATGGATGAAAGATGTACCTTTTTTGTCTAAAGTTGAAGTCCCAAGATCGATCAAATTCGGGAAAGTAAATGATAAGTATTCTTTACATGTGTTTTGTGATGCAAGTTAATTTGCATATGCGACAGCAGTCTTTCTTCGTGTTGAAAATGAAAACTCAGTGTACATTCAACTTATGCAGGCTAGAGCAAGAAATTCACCCTGTGGAAAAAAGAAGAACTAGCATTGCATGATTGGAGCTTCTTGGTGCTACTATCGCTGCACGACTTTTGTCAAGCATACTAAAAGATCTTCCAGTTAAAAAGGTTTATTGTTGGACTGACTCAACGACTGTGCTTGCTGGGATAAGAAGAAAAGATTCTTGGGGCGTTTTCGTCCATAATAGAGTAAAAGAGATATCAGATTTGACATCTAAAGAAACCTGGAGATATGTTCCCGATACAATGTATCCAGCAGGTCTTCCTAGCAGAGGTTGCTCTGCACGACGTTTTGCGTCTTAGAAATGGTGGGAGGGTCTTTCGTGGCTCTATCTACCTGATGAAATGTGGCCTGTCACTGAAGATATTACATGTGAAGAGGAAGTAAACAGAGAACGAATGAAGAAAATCGTATCTTCTATGTTGACTGCTGGAATGAGAAATTTCCTAAATTTTCATCTTGCGGATTATAAAAAAGCAGTAAATATCATGGATTAAATAAGGAAATTTGTCTACAATTGTCGACATAAACAAGAAACTGCTGGGAAAGTATTAAATGAGGACTATCCTGATCGAGTTGAAACAAAAGTAAAGAACCCCGTGACAACTAGCAGTGGCCTAGTAATTAAAGCACCCATAAAACTATCACTTTGAACTGAATAAGTTTTTTTTAAACTTTTTAATATTAGCAACTATATTTATAACTTTCTATACTTTAGTTAACTGAGAGTATGTGAAAAATTGTATTTTTCAAATACTTACAAACGTAAATCATTATTTTGTTTATATTTTATTTTTATCTTTGATTATCATCATTATATTATATCCATATATAATGTGCTGAATTTCATTTTTGACGTGTTTGTAACTGCGCAATTATTAGTAGTTAGATTCTGCCAACAGTAAAAAATATTGCTGTTCTATTCTTTTTAATTTTAAGAGGAATTTATGCTGTGTTTTTGAGATATAAGAAGAAAAAGCCTCTTGTGACATTTAAAGATGCACATATTGAGTTTCGATGTGCTTACAGCTAATAAATGTGTTTTATTATACAACTTGGAGTTTTAATGAATCCTTATTGACTTTGGAGTATTTTTGAGAGGCAATTATTTGTCACTATTATTTAAAGAGAGAGAAAAAGTTGTATATTCGTCTAAAATATTATTAAATTTTGTTTAAATTGTTTTATGTACGTTAGTTAATTAAATTCGTTGTTTCACCTAAATGTACGCCTTTGATACTAATAAAGCTTAGTTTTAATTACTTTAAGCAAACATATTAAATATTACCTGTCTTTCTGCAGTTCTTTCTAACACAACGCACAACCATCTGTTTCCTTTTTCAGAGAATACATTCACTGTTGCTTTAATTCCTTATTTGTATATTTCACTCGCAGACTTTGCTTTGAGTATGCAATTATTGTGATAAAACATACCATAATATTAAAGATAAGAACATATTTGTCAAACTTATCTGTTCATAATTAATTAATTGATTCAAATAGGACTTGCAAATACTAAAATATTATCTGGCATATATTTCAAACGAAGAAGTTTAGTATATTTCATATAATTAAAAAGAAAGTTTTCTTTCTCTTCTAATTTTTTAATGGATAAAAGGACTTTTTATTTCTGCACTTGCGTCAATTTCTTAAATCTCAAGTAAGTAAATTCACTTTATTGCAAATAAATACATAATATTGTACATGCATCTAATCACATACATAAATGCTTATACGAAGTACACTGTATTCATTAGTAGGTCAGGCTTCAAACATTTAATGCAGCATGTAACCTTGAATGTCTCAGGTGGCTATGTATGAAAATTATATTAAATTCTTATAAGCATTTTCTTTGCCAAAAATTTTCATTGACATGAATGAACACTCAAGAAAACCTATTGAATATAATGATAAATTGTTAGGAATTAAAATACAGTTAGAAAGCTTTCAGATCCAGACAATTTTCAAGTCATTTTCATAATTTTCCCAGAGTTAAAAATTTGGAAAATAAATTTCTTGTATGCATATTTGAGCTACCTGCAAACGTAGGTGTACATTCTTGTATTAATATCTGAACTATATTATAAGTATACAAATTACATTTTTGCATTTTATTAAATTGAGGTCACCAATTTGGAACTTAAAGTCCTCTTTATTGAATTTATAAAAAAAATTTGTTGGATAACTTGGATCTTAGACTACTTGAATATAGCAAACCCACAGGAGCTATCTGCCTAAGAGAAGCGTCAACGTCGCAGAAGACCTTCTGAAAAACATTGGCTGGTATTCACGTTACACATGGATAAAACCACGAAACCCAAATATGCAGCCATCCCATTCGCTCTACCACTCGGCCTCTGATGAGACATAACTTGCATCTGTTTTTGAATTTATCCCGTGTTCTCTTACAGCATCATCATAATCTTTCATATGAGCTTAGAAAATACCATGTTTCTTAAAAAGGTAGGGGAAAGGACGCCTCAAATCCCGCCAAATAAAATGTTGCTTGTTTTGTAATTATACATCGATTGTTATATGGCGCCCCTCAATATCACTTGGAGCATGAGCCACACCCTTAGGTCACTTCAGTGCTTACTGGGGTGCAGCAGCACCTTTTTTGGAGAATTACTGCTTTAACGCATGTGGCCTGCTACTAGCAAGCCATGCACATATGAAAATACATGCACAGTTCTATACTTGGATTAAACTCAATTTTATTGTAATAAATTTGTTAAGTATTAAAATTAAAAATGGGACGAATCGTAAAAAATTCTCAAATCTCTAGAATTCAAAACTCAAATTCCACTTCTAGACTCTCAAATCTCTTTCAAAATTCACGAGCCTTTGAATTTTCACACTAATTAAAATCTATTCGTTATGCGTTTTCACTTATTCTATGATAAGTGATGTTAACAGTTTTTTAAATAAACGGAAAATTAATTTCATACAGCTACAGCACCTGTGGAGGAAGTACTAAAAATTTGAATAAACAGTTGATGAGAAATATTGGTTTCAGCAAGAAACGAATATGTAGTCTTTCTGTTTATTAAAACTATGCGGAATACTGATGTAAAAATTTTATATGTGTTACTGAGAAAAGCAAAAGCTGTAATAACATCATTATATTATATCCATATATAATGCAATGCATGGTTATGTGCTCCTAGTCAACGTTATGAGGGAAGCAGAAATTAGTTAACAACGCATGAAAAATAGAAAATGCAACATAATTTCTAGCACAGATTTAAAACTTTGAGAGTCGTATTTCTTGGAGCAGGGAACAATCTACCTTTCTAATGAAAATTTATTCTATAAAGATTACGTTTGTTTAAAATGCATACAATTGAACACTATCAAATAAACTGCAACTTCTTTTTTCTGAACTCTGTATTTTTTTTCTCTTTAGCTAAGCAGAGAAACCATATGAAAGTTGCAATAAAATACCTTATAGTATACACTGTTCTCATTAAATTAAAAAAATAATGCATCTTATGCCAGACAGATCGAAGAATTATGAATTATCATTACTAAATTTTGGAATGTTTATTCAGTTTTAAAATTTATTCAATGTTCACTACGTATAGCAGCAAGACGTTAATTAACGATGAAAATTGTGAACGAGTTTTCGAAACAAATTCCTGAGCGGTTTATTTTTAAAGAATTTAATGAGAAGTTTATCCTTGAATATAAATATCAACTTTATATTTTTAGAAGAATTATTAAATTACTAAGTGGAGTAGCTTAGGCTAGGTTAGTTGACACGAGGGCTACCTGCCTAAGAGTAAGGATGGCTTCGTGGTCGATGTTCTGAGGGAAACTAGCTTGTAATCGCGTTACATATGGGGAAGATCACAATAAAATATCCATTCAACAGGGATCGAGCCAAATTAGGTTAAACTACCATTATTTAGCGACTAGGATACCGGTGCGGTCTAGTAAATGCAGTAAGAATTGTGCTTAGTGAGGTCATATTCAAGTGAAAATATTAAAAAAACGAAAACTGGAAATGAAATTTTACCTTTTAGAGCCTCCTTTTACGCTTCTGGAACCACCTTTCACAGACTGTCCTGTTCCATAACGGAGCAAGACCATGGAGATGTATACAAACAGTAACCGGTTTATCGTTTCCAT